ACAGACTTGGGCAGATCTCAGGAGAAGAGCAAAGAGGTCTGGCTCTGTAACACTTGTATCCTGCTCTATGAGATTTGACCCTTTGTAGGAGCTGTAAATACTCACAAGTGGGGTCGCCCCTTTGTAAGAGCTGTAAACACAAGGAGGTTTGCTCCTTTATAAAAGCTGTAAACACTTACAAGGAGGTTTGCTCCTCTATAAGAGCTGTAACACTCATATTATAAAACCTAACTTACTGCTAATCCTACTCTACAAGGAGGTTTGGCTTGTTATAAGAGCTGTAACACTTATACCTGTTGAATAAAACCTATCCTGTGGTCCGTCGCTTCATTCTTCGAACTGCCGAGACCAAGAGCCTGGAAATTCAGTATCAAAAATCCAGTAACATTGAGATGATCCTTTTTTGGTATGTTCTATTAAATGATTTTTGGATGTTCAACCAACCTTGCATTTCTTGGATAAATCCTACTCAATCATTGTGAAGTATTTTACACATTGCTGGGTTGGGTTTGCTGGTACTTTGTTTAGGATTTTTGTGTCTGTGTTCATAAGACATGCTCATCTGTAGTTTTCTACTCTTGTGAAATCCTTCTCTGGTTTTGTTAACAGGGTTATGCTGACCTTATGAGTTTGGCGATATTCTCTCCTATTTTGGTTTTTGGAAGATTTTGTGAAGAAGTGGCTGTTATTCTCCATATTTGTTGTTAATTTCTAAAAGGACCCACACAACCAATTTTTTAATACCATCATAGCCTCCTTTCTCTCAGCCAAATTTTTCATCTTTCATGGGTTTGGATCCCACCTTTTCTATGAAGCTGTCTTTGGTTAATCTTCCTGGGAAGTTGCTTCGATGACACATAAAGCCCCAGAATATACTCAATCACTGGCTGGAGCCTCGGGCTCCGGGTGTTTCAGGCTTGCTCCTCTTTTCTGCTCCACTGAGTCTGAACTGCTTGAGGGCAGTGAGGGAGCTTTCAGCTGCTGCACTTGAGTGCCCTGAGGGGCCCAGCACTTGGCCACAAGGACAAGTAGAACATTTTTATTCAATGGTGTAGATTTAAAGGCTCTTAAAGATCTTATTCAAGATTTCCTGGTGTGTATGAGTATCTCCAAGTCAGGTGAACATTAAGAAATATCATCTAAATAAACATCTTTATGTGCGTTATGTATCTGTGTATATATACATAACTATGTATGTTATTTCAGACATAGAGTTAAATGCAGTTAAAAGAGAATTTGGGAGGCAATATTCCTGGATTTCAATCCTGGCTTTTTCATTTTGAGTTTAAATACTGTTCTCTGAGTCTTCTGTGGGTTTTCTCATACATAACATGGAAATGACGGTGAGGACTGGAATAAAATATGTAAGTTATTTAGCCTGATACTTCATGATAGGAGACAATAGATAGTGACTAGCAGTTGATGACTTAAAGCTCCTTTTATATGAATCTGATATTAACCATATTTGAATATTTATAACAATCTAATATTACCCATGTGCTACTACTAATTTGAAATAATAGATGAATTGGTTCAAAGTTTTAGATTTTTGTTTAATGGCTGATTACATGGGATTTAAAATCTTCATTAAATTCTTTGATATAGGAGTACTCTATTTTTCCTTTTAATTGTTTGGTATATCTTTGGGCTACTGTTAAAGACTGTCATTTTTCCTTGGTCATGGTTATCTTGAGTTCCTGAGGAAGTGCCCAAGAGCATGGGAGCCAGGGTCAGATAGCCTAGACTGCTGTGCAAACCTTCCCCACATCCTCCTCTGTCATGTGTGGATAAGTCTCTGCCTCCTAGACTCCTTCTGAGAATTCAGAGAGACTCAGCAACAAGCACTTAGTGCAGGACCGGAGTGAGTGCTGGATGTTAAGTATTTGTATGCTTTATATACTTAACATCTTCAGCACCTCATTCAGTATCTGGCACATAATAAATGTTTGAATGAAAAGCTTTATCATAATTA